GGTGAATAGTCAAGGTGCTCACACTTGAAGATTGGATTTAATTGATTAAATTGAAGGTGGAATCTCAGATTACGATGATACTGACGAGATACAAACTGATAGCAAGGTAAAATGCCAAGTAAGAATGAAAATCTTTGACAAAGAAATAATAGTATATGCTACGCTCAAGGCAGAATCAGATACATCATAGGAAGTCAAAACTTTCAATGTGGCTTGTAAAAATTGACCAGCTTGGTTGATTGCGATGTCATTGTAGGTTGAGAGAAGCCCTGGCATTCAAATCACACAACAGTCTAGTCAGTTATTAATCGGTTTTCATTGACCTTGAGATTCGTAAAGATTTCTTTTCCTAAACTCATATGAAGTCTTGTGTGATGAGAATGGCTGCTGTACATACATTTGCTAATCATCATGCCGCCATATCCACAGAGGATGACTTACATGCAGCATGAGTTAAACTTATCAAGCATGAGTGGAACCCCCCTGCGATCCGTACGCACCAAAATAACGTCACGACTCACCATCCACCACCATCAGACTAAGATCGCACTGCGAAAAGAACGTTGCTGGACAAGACTTGGCAATTTCACACAACTTGAACACATGTCATAAATAATCAGAATCGGTATCAAGTCGTTCTGCTTGGTTACAGTCAACTTCATATAGCTTGAAGATGCTTATGACTTTCAGTTTGCAAAACAAATCAGGCTACACTTTTTTAAACACATACTTTGTCGATTCTTTAATTTCTATATACAGCAATACAGTTTCGCACATTTTCTGATACATGAGAAGCAGATTAAATGCAATGAGAAGAACACCTTATAACTCTAATCAAATCGACTTCCAGTACACCCAACATTTTGGAATGAAACTTATATATAAGCTACTTATAAGCGTTTCAAGAGGGGCGGATGGATACATGAATTTCTCATTTACTTGATCCGTACAATCTAAAAATGAGCCTATGCATAATGACGACGGGTAGGTGATTGAGACCTTATATCCTTTGAGGGACCAAGGATATATTTAGCGGTACCTCATGAAGGAAACTGGGAGGTCACCAAATGTAATGAACGGATAAAATGAGTGGTTTCAGTACAAAATGATTGTCACTCTTTAGTTTTCATTGCCTCAGGAGGCAGTACAGCTATTTTAATGGTCTGATTACCTTTGTTTTGAGAAGTTGATATGCAACTTCATCATGTCGTGGCTGGCTCAACTGTAGCTCGCTGACACAGATGTTGCTTTGTCATCTGGAAGCCTCTTCAAAAGGTATGTTCAAGAAAGTAAAGAATGTGACCGAATTTTATAAGAATCATTTATGACTCAATTGTTTCAATGTACTTGATTGATAGGACCTGTCCATGTAGCTGATCAAGGGACCAGGAGTTGTGTGCATTTCTCAAATTGGAGCTTTCGCTGGCCAAGTGCACTGCCTGCACCAGGAAGTTTGGGATTCAATGGGCTATTAAGCAGGGTGGATGTTTGAAACCTGTATGCTGATAAGAGCTTTGCGAGAGTGATGAAAATCTCTACATTTTTGCTTGATATACATAATGTAATTACAAATTATTAAAGGTTCTTTAAATGATTTTGGTTTCAGTAGATCTAGTATTGATGTATTAAATATTTCGGGATCCTCTAGAGTGACTGCAGCAGCAGCTGCATGCCGTCTTCTTTTTTTTTCTCTTTCTTTTT